CTTTGGCTCATGGCCATCACTCTAGCCTCTGCTTTTATAGTCACGTGTTCTCTGACACTGCCCCTCCTGCCCACTTCTTATAAGGACCTTTGTGATTACATTGGCCTGATCAAGATAATCATGCAGAATATGCCCACTTCCAGAGCCTCAAATTAATTAAATCTAAAATGATCTTTTACCAGGTAAGGAATCACATTCATTGGCTCTGGGGATTAAGTCATGTACATCACTCATTGGAGACCTTTCTAGCCTATCCCAGAAAATAAATGTTTATCAAATAATTTTTCTTGATCAAATGAAATGATCATAAATCTTCTTTATTCTATACATGTGGTTACTTGATTCTTAGTGTTTTTATGTTACACAACCTTGCTTTCCTGGAATATTTCAGTTTCCTTGTGATGTGTTACCCCTTGTACAGGTTGCTAGATTTCCACTGAAGATGTTTTGCTCAGTATTTTGCATCTATCTTTATAAGTAAATTAGCCTGTAATTTTCTCTATTTTGATGTCTTAACACAGTTTTCTTTTTTAAATATAGTAATTCTGGCCTCACATAATGAGTTGAAAGTATTTTTCTTTTTTTCTTTTTTCTAGTCTCATTAAAGTTTCTGCTTTTGTCTTTATTATTTACTTTTTTTGGACTTTCTATGGGTTTAATTTGCTTTTTTCTCTCATTTCTTGAGCACATAGACATTCAGCATTTCTCCGTTTCCTGTATATATATTTAATGCTACAAATGTCCCTCTACCGTAACTTTAGCTGCAGTGAACAAGTTTTGACATGCAGCCTTTTCATTATTATCATCACTAATTCAAAATATATTAATATAGTCTACTTTTCCTTTTGATTTTTTTTACTTACATCTTCTCAACTGTCTTATACAGAATATATACATTCATATACATACAAATACATATACATACAGATTTTCTCTATGGGCATATTGATCCAAATTATTTTTCTGCCATTATCAGCAGCAGCTTTCTCTATGACTATTTGTAGACTATTACTACATATACATGAATCTATGAACAATATATGGCATTGTCCCTTGTGCTTTTCAAATGTATCTATATATATCATATTGTATCATTTAATCTTATTTATATTTAATTTTTGATATTTATTAATATTGATATGTATAGCTCTAGTTCATGTATTTAAACTCTTGTTTATTTCATTGTTTCATATTAATAAAAACTACAATTTATTTATCCATTTTTTGGAAATTTTTTAGGTTATTTTCACTTTTATTGATGTTATAAACAGTGCTACAATTCTCATGCTGTAAATATCATTTCGTGTATTTTTGCCAGATTTGTCTCTAGTGAATGTGCTTGAAGGAAGAAGTGTAGCATCATTAGGTGTAAATTTCTTCAATGGTATTGGATATTGCCCAAATGCTGAACAAAGCATTTGTAGTTATAGAAATTTGCTAGTTTCTTAACAAAGTTCAAATTCTCAATTTTACAACTTTCTGCCTATTTTTGTCAATATTTGATATTGCCAGATTTCTTAAATTTTACTAATACTGTGTGTGCAAAAATATTCCTCACTTTTGTTTTGGTATTAATTGTATTTTTCTCTGAATACTAGTGAGGTTTAATATCTCTTAAGAAGAATGTAGCTTTTCCCTTCTGTGAGTTTTCTCATTTTTCCATTGGATTCTTATAACATTTAAATGTTCTTGATTTGTTTGTTAACCTAGACTTATTTTTTAAATTGTGACATGTATATTATGTTATTTAATTCTTTCTCTAGTATTTTATTTAGAAACTCTCTATATACATTCATAATTTTCACTGATTTATTTATTTTGAGATGGAGTCTTGCTCTGTCACCCAAGCTGGAGTACTTGGCTCACTGCAACCTCCACCTCCTGGGTTCAAGCTATTCTCCTGCCTCAGCCTCCCAAGTAGCTGGCATTACAGACTTCCAGAACTGTGCCTGGCTACTTTTTGTATTTTTAGTAGAGACAGGGTTTCACCATATTGGCCACGTTGGTCTCGAACTCCTCTCCTTGTCATCCGCCTGCCTTGGCCTCCCAAAGTGTTGGGATTACAGGGGTGAGCCACCACGCCCTGCCTCACTGTTTTATTTTTATGTCCTCTGATTTTGATTTCAAGGTTTTTAATTGTCTCATAAAATGAGTTTTCTGAATAGAAAAAACAAGAACCACTGCTAAATATTTTGTACTTGTTGGTTTTTTGAAGGTCAGAAAAAAATGTGCTTTGAGAATAGTCATAATCTGAAGTTTTTGTGCATTGCTGCTAGTAGGGAAAGTGGATGAAAATGTTTTAATATAAAGTTAATTTATTTAAGAACTTTTGGTTTATAATATTTTGTTTTTAATTTGAAGAATCTGCAATTTTAAAGAAAAATTTATATTTAATTCATGTTTTTATATCTTTTTTTTTTTTTTTTTTTGGGGTTTTTTTTTTGTTACCCAGGCTGGAGTGGCTTGCCGCAACCTCCGCCTCCTGGGTTCAGGCAATTCTCCTGCCTCAGCCTCCT